TGTTGGCATTGAACAAAAAAAAAACTTTATTTGTATTTAAACAAACAATTTCAGTTGAAATTAAATTGCATTTTATTGTTTCGATAATACTTATTCATATAAATACAAAATAAGATTCTATTTGTTTTAATAAGCCACGCTTCAACTGCAACTATTGTTAAAATAACAATATTCTTTTATTAAGCCAACAATAGTTAATTTTAATTCAGTACTAATTTCTCATGAATGCAAAAATAACTACCAACCATTCCCTCGTTCTCGGACAAAAATGTAAACAACAACACTAAGCTATTCTCGTTTGATTCAGCTCTTTTTCGCGTTCTACGTAAATATTGTTTTTAACAGTTAATTTCGGGAAATAAGTGCAAGATTTCCGAAAATCTTGAGACTTGAGGTAAGTAAGTATGCTGCAGTTGCTAAATATAAACAGTTTTTCTTTATTTTTTCCGTCGATCTTGTTTTCCGTACTGAGTACCAATGCTCCCGACGCCAATAAGGCAGCTCCTACACCTTGACCCTACCTATCGACCCATCAATTCATGAACCGGAGAGATTTTATGCCTCAGAAGGGTTTTTTTTTTAATTCAATTGGAATTCTGTTTGTTTCTAAAAGAAACAAAACATTATTCAATCAATAAACATATTTTTATTTCTACTGCGTATATTTTCAGGCTTAATAAAATAAATATGATTGAATCAACAAGAAATCTCTTTTAAACACAAACATATTTTGTTGTTGACCCAGCTGCCAAAATTGACATCTTACGTCAAAACCATGAAAGCTCTTCTAAATTCGAAAAGATTTTCTTTTTGATTTCACAATCCATGGGTTTTTAGAAACAAAGATACTGGATTGTTGAAATAATAATGATTTCTTTTTGCAGCCCAAACAAAATGAAATTCTTATTTATTTTACGTCGATTATTATTGCGTTTAAAATATTTTTTTTCTGCGTGAATATTTTTTATTTTAAGAATGACATGAAAGTTCTTACTATTCATCTGAATTTAATAAAATTGCTCTAAAATTTTCGAAAATTAAATTTACTAAGTCCAAGTAGCTTTTCCTAAGATCATCAACTCAACTGAAGTTTTGGCAACTTCTGTTAATTGACCTGCTCTGAAAATCTCAAATTTTTCAAAACTGATCTTAACAGTTTTGAATTTCCTTTACGTTTTCTGAACTTCCCAGAACTTCTATACAGTTCCTGTAATTTTCCTGATTCAATGTAAAATAATAATTTAGATGGATTTAAAATTGCGTTTTAATAGAATCGAGTTTATTCCAAAAAGGCACATATTTTTTTAAAGATCCGGTTATGTACAGTACACACAGCAATCAGTAAAGGGTGGAACGGTCAACAATTGTAAAAATGATCAAACTGTATTTCTTTTTTGATGTTTAACGACTACAAAATACAGGAACATTATTTGGTTAGGTTTCTGATTATCCAAATGCAAATTGTCGGGCTTTTCGTTTCACACCATCCATTAGATTTTTTACCGCTGTTGAATCAACCTTATTTGATGCTAAACGTCAATTTGCTTTGAACTATTTCTCATTTCCAACTGTTTTCTGAGTTTTCTTGAGGTTCCGCCTAACGATTACCCAATATTTTTCAATTGCGAACTTTGACAACTTTTTTTGGTTAAACTCTTGACCTGGGAGCTGCCTAAAATCTGCTTTGATGTATATTTCATCGTTCATTATAAAGGGTGTATTCGATAAAAATGGCACATCGAAAATTTTATGTAACTATTGAACCGTATGAGTAAAAAATCTGAACATTTGAGTAAATCTTATTCATAGTGTATTGTTTACATCTGTCAAGTTTCCCAGTTATTCATACAGTAGTTCCAATCATGGCTTCGGAACAAGAAATTGTCCGTGAAAAAATGTTGTACACTTACAATCAAAATCCAGAGGCGTTCCACCGATGGATCGCTTAAAAGCTTGGAATTGCAAATACATCTGTGTCTCGTGTGATAAGAACCTTCAAGGAGCATCTGAGTGCTTCAAGAATGGAAGGGAGTGGTCCAGTAAATGGCCCGAAGAAAGGAAGGGAGTGGTCAATTAAAAAGGCCAAGAAAGTGGTGCAACAGTTCAAGAACCGTCCAAACATGTCAATTCGAGATGTCACTAAAAAGTCCAAGGTGTCAGTCGGTTTTGTGCAAAAAACCATGAAACGTGTTGATTACATGTTTACAAGGTGCAAAAAGCCCTAAACCAAGTCACCAAATCGTGGTGCATCGTGATGGATGACGAAACTTACGTCAAGGTCGACCTCTGTCAACTTCCTGGGCAAGAATATTTCGTTACCAAGTCTAAGTTTGATGTTCCGGAGGATGATCAAAATTTGCAAAGAAGTTCCTGATCTGGCAGGCGATTTGTGGATGTGGTGAAGTAAGCGCTCCCTTCATCGCTTCCGGGACAATCAACGGTGCGATGTATACGGAAAAGTGCCTTAAGAAGCGTCTTTTGCCATTCATAAGGAAGAACAAAAGATCAACTCTGTTTTGGCCTGATCTAGCATCCCGCCACTACGCTTGAAACGTGTTGCAGTGGTACCGAGCCAACGGAGTCAGTGTGTCAAAAGATATGAACCCACCATATTCACCGGAATTTCAACCAATTGAAAAATTCTGGGCAATTATGTAGACGGTACTTCGCAAACATTCCAAAACTATTAAAACAGAGTTAAAACAACAAAAACACCGGGAAAATCGGATTTACAAAATTTGAAAGGTGGAGTGAAAAGGAAGGTGCGGCATTCGGGATGGGAAACGAAATTGAATAAAAAAAATTTTGTAAATCATAATTCATTAGTAGTTTTTCATTCCCTGAAAATTTCAAGAAAATCCGTTGGTTTCTTTTTGGGAGCAAATATGTGTGTGTAATTTTAATCAAATACACCCTTTAGCGCAATCAAATTTCTGCGTGGGAATAATTTGAATTTTGCTTATGTGCGAGCAGAATTTGTATAGAGCTTTTTGACGTTTAATCGGCGCACTCTACTGTACCATTAAAAACGAACGAGTGCGAGCAAGAGGGAAACAGATTAGTGGGGAAACAAACCGTCCATTAATTCATGTGTGCTAGATAGAGAAAGATGATTAAACGTCAAAAAGGTCTATACGCTGCAATGACGTTTATATAAGGTCTGGGCCAAAGGGCTTATTGGTGTTAGTGAAATGTGCAAATGGTTAGTGGTGTTCGTATTATATTGCAATGTTTATCTTTTTACACGAAACAGCTGTTGGCAGTGACGTATTTCTATCTGTTCTCAGTATGTCGGCAGTGACGTATATCTATCTGTTCGCAGATGTTCAGCAATGTTTACAACATTTTTGCTTCTAACACCAGCAAGCTGCCTGTTGGTGCAGACCTTATATAAATGTCATTGTATACGGTGTCCCTCTTGCTTCGACCATGGTGGGTATATAAATGGTGAAACAGCTTTGTCACTATATATGCGAGGAGGTCGCGGGGGGGAAAAATGCGGTTTAAGAGCAAATTGTAAACAAACTCGGTCGCTGTCCCATACAAAAATCCAACATGGCTGAATCACGAATTTGACACATTAGAACACCTATATGTAGCTACCTTGGCTTCGACGCCATTTTGACAAATGAATGGAAAATGTCAAAAACAAAATAGAAGAAACATTCCATACGCACAGGCCTACAAAATGAGGGGTGATCAAGTTTTTAAAATGCACGATTAAAAAAACAAATCGCCTAATTTCAGTCGACAAAATTTTTTACGGTGCCGCGCTTTGTTATTAAAATTAAAACATCAGAATTTTAATAACAAAAAATCTACACTCTAAGTTTGAGGTTAACATTTCCTTTATTTTTGAGTATGCAAACATTGCAATTTGATTTTTATGTTGACTGTTCATGTGTACCTGTTGTATACAATTAAATCATCGGTTTCTAACAAACAGTGGCTCAATCATCCAAATGGATACGTCTTGTTAGCTTAGTGATAACCGTTTCAGCATATTGAGCAGAAGGTCGGGAGTTCAATCCCAGGTCCGTAAATTTTCTCGTATTTGCCAGTTTGCCTAATTAAGACTGAGTGAAATTTTTGTCAATTTTCCTCATTTTCCGGCAGATTTTTTTAGGATTTGCACATGAAAACATGAGGTAAATTTACTCATCGTTGAGCTCCTGCACTTTTTGCGGTTATGAGTAAACTGAACTCAAATATGGATTGATCTCATTGGCCGTGCAGAGGTAAACACGGTTGTCATCATTTAAACCCTTCCCTAAAAGACCGTGTGGTGGCCGACGCCGGTGCTGATTTATAAATAGCTTGATTTATCACGTTGAAGATGCATAAGCTAATACCAAGCGCCATCTATGTGGTTCTCTGTGCAGGACTGACTGGTCGATTGGAAGAAATCGGTGATGAAATACTACATCGAGGTGTATATTTCATTTGAAAAATAGTTTGAGTCGCTTGAAACAGCCATGAAAGTGCATCTACGCAACAAAGTCCTTAAGTGTTCTTTTCAGTCGCCCCACAACCGAGAACCACGTACCAGATCATGAAACTATTCAAAACTTCTACGGTTTCAATTGCATGTACGAATGTTGAATGCCGAATACCTAAATGCACCGCACTCGCAGTCGATCTTCTCAATGAAATCCACGTATAGGTTTGAACTTGGGTGTCATTTGCATCCCAGTCACGTCGGCAGCGTTCTCCCAAATTTGAACTAAATAATTCACGTTATGCACCTGGCCGAAAACTGAACCAAACGAGACGCCAACGGTAGCGGTTTTTGGCGCGTCGAGATCACGTGCCTGAATCGCGGTCCGGAAAAATAGAACCTCGGTATGATAAATTTAGCACTACCAGCTCGGCCTCACCCGATGCTGAATATTGAAATCGCATCCGAGCAGGGAAATTTGAATATTTCAATTTATGCTATATCTTATTCCTTGTATGCCACTTTCACGTGCTGGCGCTGATTGCATGACATAATTTTGCAGATGGAACTCTTCGGGAGAAAAAAATGGATTTTTCCTGCGCTGCTGGTTCTGGCATTCTGGTTGGACAACGTGAGTGCACAGAACCGGATCAATCGGCAGAGGGGGAACATTTTGAAAAATTTAACCGGAACGCACGAATACGACAACCACATCGTCACAAGTCAATTGGATGCATCCTCGGGAATCCGAATGTTCTACCGGGGCTTTCGTGAGGTTTACAACCGGCTGCTTGGCCCTACCGGAGGCAGAATCCAGGGTCCATTCCTCCAGCCACACGTGATGCCGAATGTTCCCTTCCCATGTGACACCAGAGGCTACCGAAGCAGTCGAGTTCCGACCAGTGTTCATCAGCTGCGACCCGGTGACATCGATGTCATTTCTGCTGTAGGTGATTCGTTGACTAGTGCCACAGCAGCCAATTCGGTCGCTCTGTGGGAATTACTTATTGAGAACCGCGGACTTGCGTGGTGCATTGGAGGACAAGGCACTTGGCGAACGCACCTGACATTGCCCAACATATTGAAGGAATTCAATCCGAAGCTCTTCGGGTAAGCTCCAGTAAACTATGAGTGAGCTAAGAACATTCATTGGCTTCTTTGTAGTTACTCTTTATTCGACTCGTACAATGTTCATCACACGGCACAGTTCAATGTGGCTGAGAACATTGCCACCACCACCGACATGCCGTACAATGCAGCCAAGTTGGTCGAACGGATGAAGCTAGATCCAAGGTAAGTTGAATTGGAATCTAGTTGAATGTTCTGCTTGAAAGAACGATTCTAGTTAAGGGTATTTTCTAAGGCATTTAATTATTGATTTTGTTTTTATAAAACTACAGAGTACAATGGGAAAAGCAATGGAAGTTGCTTACTTTCATGATTGGTGGTAACGATTTCTGTTCTGATGTGTGCTATCAAACAAATGCCACCGAGTGGATCAACGAAGTTCAGGAAAAGTACCTTATTAAAACGTTGCTCTACCTCAGACACAACATGCCAAGGTGAGTATGAACAGTAACCGAACTATTAATTATTTACCGTGGCATTAAAAAGCAACATCTGAAAAACTCCGGACAGTGTGCTAAAACTCGGTTCGATGTCCGATTTTTAAAGCTGGAATTTCTTCGACTTCACTGGAGTTTTTTTTTCTTTTTATACCAAAAACACGTATACAACACAGTAGGTACCGTAAACAGTTATTTGACCGAATACTGTTTGGCTGAATGCCGGTTGGCCGAATATTTGAAAAAAAAAATGACAATTGACACCGTCTTCAACCAGCAGTTGCACAGACTGAACAATTAACACTGAACGACGCCTGAACGACGGTGACGCGTGGGGTTAGCGGAACCAAAGCCCACAAAATTCAATATAGTTTGAACAATACTGTATTTCAAGCTTCGTCGAATTTTGCAATCTAATACTTAAAGAAATTTCAGCAGGTTTTCTGATGATTGGAAAAATGTCGCAATGTATTCAGCAAACTAAAATATTCGAATTATATTGCTTAACATAATGTTGATCAGGTAATAATGATTTCGTATTTGCATCATAGTTTGTTCTATTTCTGATGAAATTTAAACTAAAGCAACAATAGAGAAATTTCCATTTGTAGAAATATGGATTATGAACCGAACCTTCTCTTCGTGTCTTCGTGTCCACACTGCAATTGGCTTTTGAAAATTTCTGCGAATAAGAATTCAAAAGTATGACAAGTGTTTTAAATTTTAGTAGTTCTTCGGCGTTTCACTGCTCCTGTGGTTATATTTATCCGTATCCTACTAACAAACTTTTACCCTTCCCATGGCACTTATGTAAATTTATAGAGTTCTCTGCATCTCTCTTAACCCTTCAAGTTGCCGTATCTCAGCGATATTTCGATGGATTTTTGAAGTTTGTAGCAGTAGCCAATTTCTTTGAATAACATTTGAATTTATTATATATGCTTAAGTTATTCGTCGTTCAATTTATTAATACTATGTAGATTATATATGAAACGAACTGAATTCGAGCTAAATTAATAGAACATTAGTTGTATGCAAGTCAGTTGCCTATGCGAATTGAGGTCAGCCAAAACGTATTGCTTATGTAGCTATCTCCGAATAGTTTAACTATTCGTGCTTTCGTTACTTTGAAAACCGGATGAGATGGCTCTGGATTTTGCTAGTAGAACAGGGCGGGCAGACTGAGATCGACTGAAGAGGGAGGATGATATTTGCACCTGGTTTCTCACGATCATGAATAGCAAACTTCGTTGGAGTTCCATTTCCAGGAATCATGCGTTTGGGGAATTTTCGTAGGGGATTCAGTTATTGCCTCTTTGAATTTGATCCTGACTGTGGTAGAAGTATGAAAAAATTGCTTTAGTTTGTTCTGCGGTGTGATTTTGACTGTAGCAAAGTAAAGAGATTTGAAGTGCGTTAATTGTGCGATTTGTTTTAATACGGCTTTTTACTTGCGAAAAACATACCGGTTTTTATACATCATCTGAAATAGATTCATTTTCTTAGCACAATGATATTTCTGTCGATCCGATAGACATTTATCTCGATGTTTAAATGAAGATTTAATTTAAAAAAAAAACCAATAGTTGACAGCTCGCTCCCACTCAGTGATGCAAAATATCATGACACTCACTCGACACTCGTCAACGCCGCATCCGACTATCGCTGACAGAACGTTTTGTCACGCAATGAGAGGTAGATCCATGGAAAACAACAATCACCAGTAATGGTCGCTGCTCTCAGACAAAACTCGCTGCTGATGTTGTCAATCACAACGAAAACAGTGCGATGATGAGAAAAAGCGAAACTGGCAAAATTAAATGGAAGCTGTTGGGCTCATTCACCAACACACTCATTTAAGCAAGTAAAGCAGCAACTGCCTCAAAACGAGCACAGATGAGTGTCGTGATTGTCGGAAATGACCAGATCGGTGATGGATCACCACCGAAGACGACATTCACCAGTTCCTTTTTACTTCTTTCGTCAACTTGATGGATGGAGAATGCTTCGACAAGCACATTCATAGGAATGTACCAAGCGTTACTACCATCAGCTGTTTTACGATCGTGATTGTGATAGGTCACAACTATGGCTCCCACACAAAGTCCCATCGTGGGGTGCTATGATGGTGATTTTTGCTAATATAATCGCATTTATTCCCACCCCCTTTCCACCCGTGTCACGGTTTAGAATGTTCAATGTTGGTATTTCAATTTGGTAAAAAGCGGGCTTAAAAAAAAAATGACGCTCAAATTCACTACGTAAAAATAGTTAATTTTCAAACAGTCGTATCTTTTTTTGTAGATTCTAACGTCACTTTGTCATCATTCATAGCTCACCCACGAAAACTAACACCACCACCAGGTAGCGTAAAATTTCCCTAACAATATGATGGTGCTAGTATATAGAGGTAACTCTAAGACTAGAATCACCGACGAATCGACGTGACAGTTCATACAAGCTACTTTCAAATTTGTACCCATGACGCCATATTTAAAATACGTTAAACAATACCGACATCTACTCATACGATCGCGTCATACCATGAAAAAGGACACGAACCCACGTATAATTTATATTGCCTTGGTTTGCGTTTCACCTCATTTGACAGATATGATCGCCCGTTTGAAAGTTCGAATCGCTCGTTTGACAATTCGAATTGTGGACAAACGAAATGCTCCTGTGGCATGTCGGTTCGTCGTTGCTAGAAGGTCCCGAAGAAACGTGCTCAACTTTTTGGCTCAGCTCTGGTACGCTCTTCGGTCTCAAGCTAATCGATGGACCCCTCGGAACATAGGAAAATCCACGAACCCCTCATTTTATCTGTCAAATGTTCATAGAGTATCAAAACAAACATATTGTAGTACTAGAATGTTGGCAAGAATGGGGCAACCGGTGGAAACTAACGATTTTAAATTGGCTCACTACTTGACTAGCCTATTGGTCCCAAGCAAATCGATAAACGTACCCCATTCTAGTCAAAATTCTAGTACTACACAATGTTTGTTTTGATTCGATATGAAAGTTAGACAGGGGTTCGTGGATTTTCTTATGTTTCGAGGGGTGCATCGATTAGTTTGAGACCGAAGAGCGTACCAGAGCTGAGCCAAAAAGTTGAGCACGTTTCTTCGGGACCTTGTAGTCCTAGAGTTACCTCTATGAATGGGGTACGTTCATCGATGTACTTGGGACCGATAGGCTACTGAAGTAGTGAGCCAATTTAAAATCGTGAGTTTGCATCGGTTGGTGCTAGTTTGCGTGGGAAGCTAAAGGTTTCGGCAGATTGACATTTTTTTTTTACAAAATTTGATACGGCTATTTTAAAATCCACATTAACATTTTTTTTCTAACTGATCAAAATAAAGCTTAAAGTTTAATCACCGACAAGATTTTTCACTTTTGTTACAAGTATTTGACATAAGCATGGTTAATAAAATTTGTGCAGGATTATTCAGAAATGAGTAAACAATGTTTTTAGACAAACAGAGGAGAAGTTACTCACTTTACAAAATCAATGTTACTCAGATTTTGACATTTTGTACAGAAATACCAAACTGAGTAGAAGCTACTCACTTTTGAGTAACATTGAGCGAGCGTGCAGGTTTCCACCGGTTGGTGATAGTAGCGAATTAGTTTCCCTAGCAGCACACTTGTCATTTAACAGTTGTGGTTACTTGTATGCACCTTATTTCAGTCACAATCAAGTTGCAACAACCTATTTTGACAGATGTGTGTTGCTTGGGTTATTTGGCTCCCATGGCTAATATGCTTGGGGCGTTTCAAATAAGACGTACACAAGTTTTTCTATTTTTTACCGCACTCTCCAGTGCCACGTGTTTTTCCATTCTTATTACACGTTCTGGCTCAAAAAATAGGCTCCTCCCCCCTCAAGAGTGCACATCATATTTGAATTTCCCCTTGTTTCTTAGCTATACAGACGACCTAAGTGTTCTGTATTCTAAATAAATCCGTTTTCTATTTCCAGAACCATTGTCAATCTTGTGCCGACTCCGCTCATAAGCTTATCGTTCTCAATGGACAAGGCGCAACAACTTCCTTTTTCCTGTTATCTTTCGCGACCAATTGAATGTTCCTGTCTGTTTGGGCCCAAATATTCCCACCGAAGAAATCTCTATCGAAAGTTGGAACGAAACTTTGCCAAGATCATGGAACGGGTCAGCTATCTTCCCGATTTACACAGCGACAATTTCACCGTGGTGTATCAACCGTTCTTCAAAGAGGCCAGTGTCTTCTATCAAAGAGACGGTAAACCGGACATGTCCGTCATGTCCATCGACTGTGTCCATTTAAGCCAGAAGGGTCATGCCGTGTCTGCCAATGGACTGTGGAACAACATGCTGGAACCGACGGGAGCCAAGACTGTTGGATTTAGGAGACTGTTTGAAGATTTCAAATGTCCATCGTCGCAGAATCCTTACATTAAGACTTATTTTAATAGCTAAGTGTTGATTTGGGATACAATGAGATTTTGTTGTCTGTTTTATTTTTATCAATAACATTTATTTTATTTCAACAATGAGCGTGAAAACAAGTGCAAAATGATTAAATTAGCTCAAACATATAGACTGACTTAGAATTTGTTTTCGTTGAGATGACAGCATTTAGTGGTGATGGGGTACTCCGTAAACTGGTCGTGGAGCAGAGTACACTGGAGCTGGTGCATGGTAGCTGCTAGCTGGAGCATGAAAAACTGTTGCTGATGGACGGAAGGAGCTGACCGAGTGGACTGGAGCACTGTAGACGGCAGCTGGAGCACGGTGGTGGCTGCTGCCGCTGCTGAAAGATGGGGCACCGTACGATGAGGATGGTGCAGCGTACGAGGAGGATGGGGCACCGTACGATGAGGATGGTGCAGCGTACGATGAGGATGGTGCAGCGTACGAGGAGGATGGGGCACCGTAAGATGAGGATAAGGCACCGTGCGAGGAGGATGGGGCACCGTACGAGGAGGATGGGGCACCGTACGAGGAGGATGGGGCACCATACGAGGAGGATGGGAGCGAGAAAGAGCCATGCGAAGAGTGCGAGTGTGAAGACAGGGACGGAGCAGAGAAGGAGTGAGAAGAGCTGAGAGATGGAGCTCCGTATGAGGAGGATGGAGCCGAGTAGGAATGAGAAGCGAATGATGGAGCAGAGTGCGAGGAGTAAGATGGTGCTGAGTATGAATGCGAGGAATAGGATGGTCCTGCTTGAGCCTTGTAGTACTGAGCAACCTGGATTCCCTGACGGACATGACCAAGATCGATTCCAGTCACGCGCGAAGAATGTCCTCCAAATGATGGGACACCGTAGACTGGAGATGGTGGTCCGTATGAATGTGATGGTGATCCATAAGATGACGATGGAACACCGTACGAGGTTGATGGCACCGATACGCCATGCGATGAGTGTCCACCGAAGGAAGATGATCCGGAATGGGTGTTCTCATGTTCCAGAAGTACTTCCTTCACTTTGTGCAACAGATGATGGTCTACATGGAGGCCTTCCGAAGATTGATGTCCTGGGCTGACGGAGATGTATCCACCATCGGAGTCACCGTGGCCGTGGCTGTGACCACCACCTCCACCACCACCACCTGAGTAGGAGTCACTGTGGCCTCCAGAATAGGAGTAGCCTGCGCTAATTGGTGGTTCGGCAATGACTGCTCCTGCCACTACCAGAATGGAAATCTGAAAAAGAAAAAAAAAAAACGAACAAATGTTAACGTGATGATTGATTTCGTGAGAGTTTGTAACACTTCAATCTATGCCATGACATGCATCTTTCAAATCAACTAATCTCTGGGTGGCACGCTCACTTTAAAACCCATTGACTTGATGAGCCAGTTTGTACTCCACTAATAAGCTCGACTTTGTATTTTCTGCACATTTCCGTTCAAGATACATCTCTATTTCTCACCAAGAGTCTTAAAACAGCTTACCTACCAAGCCACACAAGATGCACTAGACTAGAGGAAGCGCTAGCTCAAGAAAAGGAAAAACCCCCTAACATTAACATTATTATATCACACTCTCATAAAGGCAAAACACGCAAAACCATTGCGTTGCGTTGATGAATGAACATGTCACGAGAGCTGACTGGCTCTCTGCGCAACATGCTGTGCGAAAGAAATGCTTGTATTACTATGATTCACAATTGCCGAGCCGCAGTACGGAACGAACGTAAACCTTCTCCTAACTGGACACACTCCTACTCAAGCCAGATGGCCATCGTCGTCGGTGACGGAAGAAGATTGATACGAGACATGCAATGTTCAAGGCGATCGTTCAACAGTCTCCGTGGGGGAAGACGACTCTACTGTCAAAAAATCCTGAAGCATCATCACATGACCATTACCGGCCGGCCGGTTTTGAAGTGCAAACAGTAAGGCTATGGGGATGACGATTAACGATGATTAAGAAAAATAATAATCCGGTGAAAGGAACTTACATTCATTGGTGATAGGGTACCAGCACGGTTATGCAATAAGTGGTTCGGAATTGTTTGGATTACGATTGGATGCCGTTCGAAATGTGAACCAGTCATTGGTGTTATAGAGGTAAAGGGGTGTGGACTCGAGGAAGACTTGTTCTCTCTGTTGGACTCTCTCTCCTACTGTTGCTGTCTGCAGCTGGTGGTAATGGTCCAGCCTTAGCAGGTAAGTTGTCTTGATAGGTAGGCGGTATGTTATGCAACAGGAACATGTTTTGTACGTTATGACACGGTACTTTCATTTTAATTCCGACGATAAATAAGCAATTTTATGGAACAAAAGGTTGAAATGGATTATGGTGCGGCTCCAGGCATTGGGCAGTGACTGCAGCGTTTGGAAATTGCCTTGATGATGCTTGATGAGGGAGCAACATTGTAGTGATTAGACTTGGTGTTTGTAAGAAGATTATAGTAGGTGCAGTCATGAAAAGGAGATTAGCTGGGTGAGCCAAAGCGGGTAGTTTCTGACTTATCTTAATCTTGCTATGGTTATTATAATCATCTCAGGGTAGTTCAAGAAAATGTGTAATGTAATAGTAATAGTAATTGTTTCTCGACCTCACTTCATCAAATTGCAGGTTATAAAAGATCCTATAGATGAAACAACGAGGCATTTATAAATTTGGGTTCTCTTCGTTTTTTTAGATAGTAGGTAGCCCAGGGTGGAAAATTGGGATAATGAATAATTTGTTGATCCACCATTTGAAACTTGCACAGGATTGCATCATCAGTGTTGTTATTTATTGATTTTGGTTTTCTACCTTTTAACACTTCGAACACGATGCTTCCGTTAAAATATGTAAAGGAAAACTGGCAATGTTTGAAAAATCATAGCTCAGTCATTTAATGCTGGATTTCAAAACTATTGACGTTTTTTGAAACTACGGACTTTAGTTTTTTTTTTTCTTGTATCAATAGATTTATTAAATAAATTTATAAATTGCTGAGCAATTATTTTTCAAACATTGCCAATTTTTCGTTAGACATTTTACCGGAAGCATCGTGTTCGGAGCGTTTATCTCATGAAAAGTCTTCTAAATGTTCTGCAGTAAATATAGAAATAAATAAGACAACTTTTTTCAAGACTTATTAGATTCTCAATTAAAAATAGATCTTTTTTTAACAATCTATCTAGCAAGTGTGAATAACCCCAAATGACAACATGTATCACATTAACAATTTGATCCACTCTTGCGCATAACTGGCGGACCAAATAATTAGCAATAAGAGAAAGAAAGAGAGAGAGAGCTTCTGTGGCCAAAATAGCTACCGATGTATTTGTTTATCTACACGAAGGGAAAACCAAATAAAAATTTGGGTTACATAATAAAGGTGTGTGTATCAGCCAAGTACAACAGTGAAACGTTAGACAAATTTTTTTGTAATACACAAAATGTAATTAATGAAAATAAATTAACTTCTAATCTTTGTAATAAGTGGATTCACGCCCCTCGATTGTATGCTGACTGATGCTGACAATTTAGATTGGTGAATAAATTCTATGTCCATGGTGATAAATTTAGACAATTTAGACAACGTTAGATGGTGTGAGAAGCAATATTTTTCGGGTCGCCATTGTACTGTATGGAAAGGGCCAGAATGGATCATAACCAGAGTGTATGGCAGAAGTCGTTGGGAGCAGATTACGGTCGTCAAGGCCGAAGAAGTGGTCCAAATATGGAAAGTGGCAGGCAAGGTTACTTTCACTCACATACAATAAAATAATGTTTTTCGGAGTTGATTAGATGTTATAAAGAAAATTAATATTTTTAAGCTACCAAAAGAGGTTATAAAATATGTGCTTGACACATAAAACCTGTCAACATTGCTTTCAGAGCGCTACAATCATCGTTTTTACGATTCGTGAGTTCTCACTCTGAGTTCATAAAATCGCTGATTGTGACGCTCTGAATGCGAGATTGACAGGTTTCATGAGTCAAACGAGTAATTTTTAACCTCTTCCTGTAATGATTTTAAAATTCCAAAAAACCATTTTTTTATAGCAAGTGAGTGAAAGCAACTTTTGCTGTAGGCAATCGATGCTGTCTTTTGAATGAAATCGCGCTGGTGTAACTGCCAAATAATGCGTGTTCGACGGATTATCCATCTAATAAGCTTTGAGTAGCTGAATGGAATCCAAGCTAATATCGGGACTTCCAAATCAGACCAAAATTTAGTATTTACCAAAAAAGGAAGCAATCAGCGATTTTACGTTTAGTGAGTTCTCACTCTGAGTGAACGAACACGAATCATAAAATCGCTGATTGTGACGATCTGAAGGCGAGATTGACAGGTTTTATGAGTCAAACGAGTACTTTTTAACCTCTTCCTGTATTGTTTTTTTTTTTAATTCTGATAAACCATTTTTTATAGCAAGTGAGTGAAAGCAACCTTGACTGCAGGCAATCGATGCTGTTCTTCTAATGAATCGCGCTGGTGTAACTGCCAAATAATGCGTGTTCGAGGGATTATCCATGAAATAAGCTATGAGTAGCTGAATGGAATCCAAGCTAATAGCGGAACTTCCAAATCAGCCCAACTGGACGAGAGTGGACCCATGTGGCGAGAATAAAATTTAGTATTTAACAAAAAGGGAAGAAACCTGTGTGCAAGGGTGGCCAGTGAATTTGTATTTTATTATAATATATTTAATATATTTTCAATATATTTATATTTTATTTTATATCCCTGTTTTCCTGGTTCAAATCTTAAAAATTTCCCCGATGTTGATATTCAACAAGAAACGAAATTGTACGCATTATTTAAAAATTTTCGGAGGTTATTTGTGGGAAAAATAAAAACAAAACTACAAAAAGTATTATTGTAAGCTAGAAGTATGAATTCAACTCTAGGAGTCACTTAACGTGTTTAAAACAAATCATTGATCTTTCAAGACACTTTGAAAAACCTATTTCTATCACTTTTTATGCTCAGTACATCTTATGATTTCAAAGCCCTAAAATTTTTGACTTTTTGGATTTGGCTTTGAAATCGCTAGAATATTTTTGAGTAACAGTTTAATCTCTAGGCTAGAAGCAATGTGGATGAATACTATTGAATAGGTTATAAGACAGAATTGTGAATAATAAGAGATTTAACTAAAAAAATGTGTCTTCATTCCGTTGTACTAACATAAATATTAACCTTTCAGTACTCGCACTGATGTGCAAAGTTAAACACGAAAAACAAATGTAAAGCCTACTAACGTTGGAACTCGCTCTACGTGAAACTAAACATGGTTCATTAAATTCCACCCACATCCAATAGACGACACATACTTGAAGAATATGAATGAAAGGTTATTTACTGAAAGGAATTTACTGAAAGTATAAACAAAAAAGATTTAAGAAGATTCCCAAGATTCTAGGGCTTTGACAGTTGTGTAGAGTTTGAAACTATAATTTTCCTTCAAAATTTGTGATTAATAACAATCTTTGTGATGCAAGATTCGGAAAAACAAATATTAAAATGGGAGATTTTGAAAAAATTTCAGGTAAGAAAAAAAGCTACAAGGGACAGCCCTATGGGGTTGTATGCAATGGTGACGTAGGACGACGTGGTCTTATATAATAAATGTTATATGTTAACTGCCGCAGGAGCTTGTGTTTTGTGTAGGAATAGGAATTTGAGCGGGGCTCTCTCTTTTTATACTCTTTAGTATGACGCGCTTGGCTCTTTAGTATGGCATAGATGACCCCCCGCTTGGCATAGATGGCCCACAGTGACTCACAAAGAGCTACTGATTCCGATCATTAGCGATGATCATGTGGGCTGATTGAATAAACACCGTTTGGTGAGGCTGGATGGGTTTCAACTTTGAAATCTGTGTTGGGGAAATCGTTTTTCGCAGGCTATCGGTGATATTTATTATCATAGCAACAGTTGCACATTCGTGCAATTTTCAATAGTGATATTTTGAGAAATGATAAAGTCTTAAATTCAACAGATGCGTAGAAATATTTCTAATCGAATGGTGATAAAATTATTTATATTGATACAGGGGCTGAGTTATTAACATTCAAAAAATTTCATAATTTTGTTACATGTTCCATTTTTGGTTTTCACAAAGTATATCCCCATATAGAAATCACAGACGTAGTCCTACGTCAAAAAATCATACTTATGGGTCAAGGAGTCATAATTATCAAAGCTCTGAGGCTTGGAAGGATTTTAAGGGTCATTAAAAATTACAGGACAA